GATCCGAACGGAAGGAGCCAATTGTCGGCGAGCTACGGAATCCGGGGATTACCGCCGGCCGCGTCGAATAGTTCTGCCGCGATCAGCTAATATCCAAAACGGAAGCCTTTTTCTACGAAACCCGTGGCGCGTGGATCTCGAGTACTATGGGAATCCCCGGGTCACCTTCGTGATTGATCATCTACCTAGGACTGCGCTTGGCCCGTCGAAAGCAGAACCGCCAGAAATCCTCTCGCAAGACCACCTTTCGAAAGCAGTTCGGGAGTGAACGTGACAAGGAAAGGACTCGCGAACCTTTCTAAGCAGTTTTTATAGCTGCCGACGAGATCTGCTGGACATTTTAATTTATTTAACCCTTCGCACTCGAAGCTATTTTAACTGTAAATATAACATCATTTTTCTAACTTATAGTATTTCTATTTTATATGACAAAATGCATTTTATGCATATGCGCAACAGTTACACTCTTAATAATCTGTTAAATCTAAGCTTTGTTAATATCAAAATTATCGTAAAAGGTGATATAACAAATTTTAGTGGTGCCTCAGAGTCAACACTCGAGTGCAAAGCGTTAATTAACGGCAAAAGATTGTAATATATTTACTTGACGGAAACGGTTTTTCCATTTCAAGTGCAATTATAAATATGATAAATGTGCAAGGAGATCTTTACGGCGACGTTAATGAGGCGATGCAAAAAAGATGACAAAGTGGAGTGAACAAGAGTATATAATATAGAGTAATGAAAAAGATATCGCAGGAAAATAAGAAAGGAAAGCCAAAATAACGATTTCGAATATTTTTAAAGACGTAGTTCAGATTTCGAATTAGCCTTAATAGCCAAAATAGCGGAGCGTTTGAACGCGACTGCGGAGGTAGCGAAAAAAAGTAGAAAGTGCGATACAGAATTCGCAAGAGCGAGCAGATTCGAGTAACAGGATCGTACCGTGCAAGATTTGTTCTTGGTATTGCATTGAAGCGAGCGTATTGGAAGAGATGTAAGAAATTTTGTTCGTCCGATAGACTGATCTAGCGGTAAAAATTCTGTGGAACAAGCATTTGTAAGTGTCACAATTACACTTACGACGGCTATCGGTATCCTGTACTAGAATTTTCCTACTCCGATAATGAGTAGCTAGCCCGGATAATCGATAAGTTGTTTCTAACGGTATTGTTTCTTTGAATTGTAAGGTTGAGCTTGACAGCTCACGAGCCGCGCGCGTTATTGCGGTAGCACTTGTAGATAATGCTCGTCTCGAATTAAAGCGAATCAGAACAAAAGAAAATCTTGTCGATAACGAATGTAGGATAACATTGTGTATCTTGCATCGAAGGATTGCATAAGATTCTTCCCTCCGGAATTTTATATTCAACTGCACGCGCGCTTTCCGTTTATCGGTAAATATCGTTGCAATTGTGCGATCATTGTCAAGGTTATTTTAACCGTTTGCGTACCACGAGCCACTTTTGCGCTTTTCAGATTTTGTGTCGAGAAAAGCCAGGGCATTTGGCCGAAACAGACGACTTACGGCCCACCCGAAATTTGTCGAAACGTGCTCAGTCTTTCAGACGCATGTGTACGTCGCGCGTCGCATCGCTGTCAGTAATCCAATTTGCATTTTGTTGTTACCTATTCTAAATTAATAGTATTAGGTCTACCGGAAAGTTCTGTCCGATAGTGTCACTTCAAGTTTCAATCCATATGCACATGTTGATTTGAGACATATATGACTATCTCTCTTTATCGTTGCATTTACACACATGTACTCTCCTAAATAAACTGAAACAAAGATGTCTCGTGTCATTATTAAGTGAGACGCGATCGCGAAAACATGGCTACCGACGATAATGCCAGACCACACGCTGCTTTGGCGACTCGTCAGAAAATCGCAGAGCTAGCCCGGGAAATTCTGTCGCATCCACCATACTCCCCAGACCTAGCACCCTCCGATTATCACTTGTTTCTCTCTTTGCAAAACTTTTTACAGGAAAAAAATTCAAAACTGAAGCTGATGTCAAGCAAGCACTAGTTGAGTTCTTCGCCTCTAAAAATAAATCACTTTTTAAAAATGGCATTTACAAGTTGCCATCACGCTGGCAAGAAGTCATAAGTAACGATGGAAAGTATATTCTACAATAAATATTATTAAATGTATGAAAATTGTGTTCTATTTCAATTCAAAAACGGACAGAACTTTCCGGTGGACCTAATATATATATTTTCATTCATAACGTTTTATTTTATGTTTTACGGCTCTCTTCGACACATGATCGAAGCAGCGCTATTGCGCTCTTCGGCGCTTTTCGATCCTGTTTTTTCAGAACCATCTGGTACGCAAACGGTTAACGTGACGATCATCGTACGAAACCTCCGTTTAGCCCGCAGAAACGTCTGCTAAAAGAATCCCGAAATTCACACTCTACGAGAGACATATATTCGATTAGGATGCTCGTGGTTGGATATATCATGTGTAATTATAGATTATTTGAAGATGCCCGGAGGCCGGCTCGTTACGAAATCGATTACGAATCTCGAAATCTCGTCGGTTTCGAGCGGTTCGACGCATAGTCAAATGGCACGTTCGGATCAGCGTCGAATTAAGTTTCGAAGAACGGCGACCTGTGCGGATGCGCGATATAAATTTAAACGATAGCGACCCGTATGAAAATCACATTCGAATTCAAATTCGAACGACGGAAGCTGCGCATTTAAATTTAAATCGAACACCGGAAGATTTGAATTTAAATTCGAACACATCGGAAGATTCAAATTTATATTCAAATTCGAACAACGGAGGATTCGCGAGCGTCGATGGAACTGTTTTCCCGTACGTTTCCACTGGAATGTAAACAGCGTAAAGAAAAATCGAGATAGTAATCAAGGCCCGAAACACAATCGGGCGTACACGGGATGATCAATTCCGGAGATTAAGCGAACGTCGAACGAAGGAATTTTACCGAACGATCGCATGTCTGTCATTTGTCACCGTGCACGAGATAATCGGTGCGAAATCGCAGTAAAGTCTCACGGGTCTGACAACGTAAGATCGATCATCGATCGCGGAAAGAGTTGTTACGCTCGCGGCGACCGCCAATAGACCGGCGAAACAATTTTATCGGCGGATACGACGAGAACAGTGCCGCTCGAAAAGAGGATTAGAGAGTAGACTCGTGGGCGAAATATTTGATCAACGATGATGAAATTCGTTCGGTCGTTGCCCGATAAGGTTTCCACGTTAGAAATAGACGTCGGCGTAGACAAGGATCGAGCCGCGCGAGACGGTGCTCGTCGACGATCTCGCCGGATTTCAGATGCAATTCCGGGGCTTCCGGTCGTTGACCGGCCGGCAGACCGACTGGCCCCACGATAACAACAACAAAAATAACAATAACACAGCGGCCGTATCGCGAACTTGCTCGTCCGCGGTCCGTGGCTTTCAACAAAACAATCGTCGTCTGTATTTTTTCGAAAGATAACGTGAATTCGCGCTGGAAAAAATTCCACTGCGATGCACGAAACGTCAGTGTAGGCAGCGTAGATCTCGATAAAAGAAATACTCGAACGGATTGCAGACTGCTAATCGTTTCCAAGGCGACTCTTGAAGAGCAGATCCTTAACGTCATTGTAACGTTAACTTTGTTATCGGTGGATTATTCCGAATCGTGGCGATTCATCGGGCAATTATCTCGCCTGTTAAGTAAAGCTGTGACAATGCGAGCTGCTGCTGCTGCTGCAATAACGACAGTTTCAATTAAGGTGAGAAGATCGATCGAAAGAATGATAGAATGACGCGACGGATCAAGAACGCCGATCCTGGATCCTATTCCTTTGGAGAGATCGTCACGCTACCGGGAACTACCTGCACAGGCGACAATTAGTTGCGAGTCATGAGAAGGAAAATTCTCCGGCAATTATCTGTTATTTTGAAGCCGGCGGGAAATTTTCTGTCATTTATCCTCGAATATCGTGTTCTCGTACTTGTTATTAGATCGGCGAACGTCGTGCACGAAGCTAAGGCGAAGAAATAATAACGATCTTCCCGAGGCTGCCGCGGCGACGACCGACTCGAAAACTTTGTATCAAAAAGAGAGAGAGAGAGACGAGGAGCAGCTGTTCGATCGTGGAACAATCACCATTGGAATTCTCGAAATTCCGTCGTGCTATTCATCGAATATTTTCGTTGTAGCCGCATCTGCGCTCTTTCGAATTCGAGACGCCTCGGAATCGAACAATCGAGCGCCCAGGACCGCGTGTCGTTTGTCACTCCGACCGTGCATTCGCACAATGCAAATCATTTCGAGGTAATTACGCGTTCGTTAATTTCTTCATTTGAGGCGTTGCTAACGGGGCTCCGAGTCTCGCAGCTGCGAATTTCAAGTTCGCGCGGGCCACGCCGATCTCTGTTTCAAACGTGAAGAATTCTCGAGGCGACTCTGCTTGCGGATTAAAGCAATGTCTCTCCAATCAACGCTCGGATTGTCCACAAAAATGGATAATTTTAGAAGGGAATACGCGATTATTCGCGATTCATTTTTACAGTTACGGATTGTCGACAACTATAAAAAACGAGCTGCGAGTCACGAATAATCGTATCTCCACTTCCCAAATTGTCCATTTTCTCTGCGCAATCGGAGCGTCGGTTAGGGAGACATTACTGTAGTCAATTTTCCATTCCCGGCCGTAGAAAATGCGAAAGCGTCGATCGTCCGCGTCCTCGATCGGTTATCGACTATTTTCAATTTTTCGTCGAGTGCCAAGGTCTCTGAGAGTTCTCTAGGAATCGATAAAAACATTCCTGCCTGTCACGTGGCTTTCCACCGGGAGGAATCCAATGCTCCGCTGATTGTCACGATCGTAATCGTCGATAGTAGCACCGTGATCCGTTTGATAATCGATTCACACCGGTCGCGCGGGGAAGCGAGGGGACCCCGGTCGGGGACAATACACCAGGAGACGTTCCGGAGACGCGGCGAAAGGAGAAAGAACGATGATGCACTTACCGTCGAGTAGCGCGCACTTTGTCAAAATGGCTTTTTTTCACGTAGGAACACCTGTATTATAGGTTCCTGGATAATTCGTTACGCAATGGAAAGAGGAATCGTCTCAGATTGGGTGCAAGAGTGTGTGGGCACAGAGATGCCCCCTCCCCTTCTGCAGCGGAATCGTTCGGCGGAATATCTTCGTCTGGCCAATACGGTCCTTGATAACGCGACGGTCGATCAGCTCCGATTCGACATCGGAAATTGTATCGCGACTTCAAACACGATCCACTGGCCTCGTTCGACGGTGAAACGATTTGCTCGGCGAAAACATCCACGGATTTTAGCAAGATTTCTCTCCCGGCAGTTCGCGCCGACCTATTCCAAAATAATTGCAATTATGGAGCTTTTTTACGATGCGCGAGCATTTGCCTGCGAGCTGCACGCCTGAAAGAATTCCACGAAATTTTAACAGAAATTTTCACACGTCCTGAACAGAGACAAAAATTTCCTCCTTTACAGAGAGAAAAATTGGGACTGCTCGGATGCAGTGTATACTCTTTTATAGAGGTGTAGAGACTTAACAATTAAATCGGTCTCTCAGTCGGCTATTTTTCTAATGATTAGAAGTCACTTCTTTCGACCAGAATAAGAATGGTAACCAGATCGTTCGGAACATAATATCAACTTCGTCTCGAAGGGCCGCCATTAACCAGTTAGCTGTGACGACTCCTTTTCAGAGCGCGCACTTATGTGTGTCGCGAGAATCAACCGATGACGAATATACTCGTCAATCACAGAGTAAGTGTCGCTGTTAAAATATTGGATCAGAAAGGCGGTTTTATTTTATAAAATTAACTATTCTATTACTGATATTTACTTATCCACTTAACATTAACATGTACTACATAGATAATAAACGCAGAAACGAATGAGAAACGCAGAAAAAATCCAATACTTGTAAAAGTTAAAAATTCAAATTGCTGCTGCAGAGTGGTATTCAGCAAAACAAGGAACGATACATAGTGACACTTTGCGCGTCGAACGCCGATATCGTGATCTTTTTCTAATCTTATTTCTACAACAATGTAAACACTTTCGTGTAGGATTGGTCTCGAAATATTCTAAACGTCTTGAAATTTGAGATACGTTTTTGTTTTCACTAAAATTACAATTTAAATAGCCAATGGTCACTACCTTTTACGCACGACGAATATACTCGTCGAGACACAAAGTAATGCCATTTCTCCATGACGAGTATACTCGTCAAACTGGTAAAAGAGTTAACTGGTTAAAGAGCAGCCCACTGTTAGGACAGCGATGAAGGATGCTGAACGAGATGCAGTTGGAAACTTTTACACGTTGTAACAAACTTCTAGACTCTCTGCGAAGGTTTCTCGAAATAAAATCGTAAAAATGAACCGTTCATTTTGAAAGTGGCATAAATCACTTTACCGTAATGAAAAGTGGTGATTTTTTAAATGTTTATACGAAATTATTTATACTGAGAAAAATATCAGCATCCTGAGATAACAAATACAAGTAAGTCTTCTCGAAAGTTAGCATCCATATTTTTAAACGTGTTAAAACGCAAACCCTTATATATATATAAATATATATATAATATAAAAATATAATATAATATAATATAAATATATATAAAAGTGACTTATGCCACTTTCAAAATAAACGGCTTAAAGAATGCCGGGAACGGCGGGAGGGATAATCGATAGAAATCGAGGCCGATACAAATATTGGAGAATCATTCGGGCGGGCGCAAACAAAGAAATCATCGCTCAAAAAGCCCGAACGATCAATCACGGTATCGTGTCCTCAAGTAAGCCTTAGTCGAACCGCGTACTCGAGTGCTCGGCTTAATTCGTATTTAATCGTGGCTCCATACGATCGGAACCGGCTTATGTTTGTCCATATTTTGAAACTCTCGCGTCTCCTCGATCGCTGGCGGAACAATCTGTGAGCACCACTCGTCGCGATTCCGCCGTTTGCGTAAGGCGAACAAACGAAAAGTTTATCTGATGAGAAAAAAATCCGAGGGAAAACAGGTCAGATCTCGAGGACCGCGTTACGAGTGTTATCATCGTGACGTTTGTAAACAGTATACGTCGTTTCCACGTGAAACGATTTTATTCGCAACCCGGTTGCGCCATTTGCGCAGGGCGCATCGATCGGAAATAAGATCGCGAAAGAATTTATTGACATTCCTGAGCACTCGAGAAAACATCTTGCCAAGCAGCTACGTAGACGCTGTAGACGCGTTCAGTTCGAAAGACCTGGGGACATTCGAATTTCAAACTGAATTCGTTTGTACTAATTACGACACTCGGAAATTCTGCTCCCAGCTAAGAGCTTGGGAATATTTTGAATAGGTTGCTCAACAGAATCGAGTGCCGTTCACGTCATTCAGCCAATATATTCAGCAAACACGGGTCTTCTGTAATTCACATTTGCGACAATCTTGTCACTGAAAGAGCGCTAAATAAATTTGATTCAGTTCCCTCGTTGATCGCGGTATGGACTCAGGTATTTCGTTTCGTCGGGAAGCAACAGAAACGTAACGTCGACCGATGCGGCGACATTTTTGACAGGTCGCATCGATCTCAGACTCACTGATCTACACCAACAGCACCTACACCCAACCTTGACATAACGCGAAACAGTCCGATTGGCCCGCATCTCATCTCGAGGAACGCGATAACACTGATTAACTTATTCGTTCAATCGTGGAACATTAAAACGGTACATATTTGCAATCGGCTGAGACGAGGTCAGAATGAAATAGGTTATTTCAATTGGATTAGTTTCGAGCAGATATTCTGCTCGTAATTCGTTGTGAATCTGATCGACGATGACGCACGTAAAACCAACGGTCTTGCAACGACAGTATTTGCAACTTTTTGGATAAAAGTAATGTCTCCCTAACTGACGCTCAGATTGTGCACAAAAATGAACAATTTGGGAGGAGGAGACACGATTATTCGAGCCTCGCGGCTCGTTGTTATAATCGTTGACAATTCGTAACTATAAAAACGAGCCGCGAGGCTCGAATAATCGTATCTCCTCTTCCCCAAATTGTCCATTTTTTCTGGACAATCCGAGCGTCAATTAGAGAGACATTACTGTATTTCGAATTTATCCGTCATCTGGCACGTGTAAAGTTATGATTTTTTGCGCAACGTTTTCACAGTTGTTTAAGAATCGTTCGTTATCTAGAAATGCTAGCAAGATAAAAGTGTCGCACAATCGTCGAGAGCACGAGAGCCGCCACGAGGATTCGCGAAGCACGCGCGAAGAAACGATCACACGGTGCAAACAATGTCGGATCGCGGAGAACCGATGAATCGAACTCCGAAAATTACGACGGTAATTTCTGGGTACACCTGGGAAGTAGGTTCGCTTTCCGAGACGATTGCGAGAGGCCGGAGCGGTCTGATTATGGCGGCAGCTACGATGGAAAATTGTTGCGCGACGTTCTTGGGTCGAGGTCGGGAAGCAGACTAGCCCCCAAAAATCGCCGAAACGCGGAAGAACGAAGAGGGGGACAAAGGTATTTTCGGGCTATTGTCCCAATCAGCGGACTAATTGGCTACTGGTGGCCCGGACGGGCCAGAGTTTGTTGGCCTCCCGTCGGTGTGTTTCCAAGTAAACACGAGCGAACTTGTGTGCAAGGGCAAACGAAGGTGTGAGGCTCGCAGTCCGATCAAAATGTTGCACAACGCCACAGTCGTAATCGTCCCTCGGACAATTACTTCTGTAATTGTACTGCGGGGACGATTCTTTCGCTATCGCATTTTTATTCTAACGCTGAACCTGCTGATCTCTATAAGTGACTAACGTTGATTGCTTTATGCTTTAGCAATCTTTATTACTTAATTCGTGTCTCGCTGTGATTAATGTTATTATTCTTCTTATTATTGTTATTATGCAGTCGTGTCCGTGTAATACGCTCGTGTATTTACACTTTCTGTTTACGCAACGAATAAATTGACAGTTTTATCGTAACGAAAGCTCGAACCGAGAAGTTCGTTCAATCGTTTCCTACGAGAGAGAGACGCCAAAATTGCAATCATTTTTAAGTAAAAAAATGTGGAACCGGCCATTTCGGCCGATACGGTAGGGTTCAGCGTTGATGCTTTCGTATCCAGAAAATTTCTTTCGAAGGTAAACTTGAATCTAATTGATTGTTAAGCCATAAAATCATAGATATGCTTCTTTTATTTGAACAGAGGCGGCGGTAATGCTCCAATTGTATGCAAGCCCATGTACCTGAAAGGAGCTTCCCGGAAAAACTTCCCGGACTCGTCGAACTTCCAGTTTTTAAACCTTCATAACTGTTTACCGAGATAACGAGATCAACGCCGGGGTTCAGTGCTTTCGGATTTGCATAAGCATCTCCGTCGCAACAGAACTGGTTCGCCGACGACATTTTCTTCTCTGTGACGAGCGGAAATCGGATTTCTCGAAACCGTTCCATTTAATATTTAGCACGCTTTACGCATCAGCGAGGAAGCAATTTCTTTTTCCAATTTTCATGGATCTCGAGCGAGTCCCCTGCGTCGGTAAGATATCAACGTCGGCGTACACGAGCCTATTTTGCAGTTTTTTTTTTTCTCGATCAGCCGTGTTTGTAGCCGCAAGTTCGAGGACACCGGTTATCGGCAACGGTTATTTATTACCTGCAGTCTATTTTCGTGCGATTTATAAACTGTGCGTACGATATGATTTGTCACCGTATGAATATTCGTCGGGCACGGACACGCGATAAGTGGAAGGAAACGGTTGCATCAGCGATCAACTCGAGCGAATGATAACCCAGAATCAATTGATTCTTATTACGCACCCGTTGCTCGGTTTCTTTTTTCAGCCGCAATTATCCTTCTCGACGGCAATTACTCCATTAAGACGCGCCTCGCAGGAGCAGACCGGGAACATTGAAGTGTCTCGCGCGAGGTAAAGGATACCGCGGGCAAATCGATTCAGACATCAATTTGCCGACAATTTCTGCTGATCGAGCGGCTTGTTTGTGCAACGATTAATGAGGCATTTCATGCATTTATTGGGTGTTTTGATTTTGTAATGCCGGATATTTTGACTCGTGCAGCGCGATCCGCATCGCCTCCAAATGATTGTAAACCTTGAAACGCATTGCTTCTTTTTCTACTGAGAAATAGGATGCAATCGATCTAGACACTTTAGCTCTTTGCTCTACGATGTCGTTCCCTTTTAAATAATTATTTCTTTTGAATTCCCCTTCATTATAACACGTCACTCAATAAGTCTCCGGTCTAGCTAAGAAAACAAATTTTTTTTTAGAAATTCGACTTCATTCGTCAACATACTACTGTGATCAAAAAGTAAGGTGAATTTGTTTATAAAATGTAAATTCTTTGTTTATTCTTCCAAATCAATTTCATCCCCTTCAAAGTAATCCCCGTCCGATAAAACGCACTGTTTCCGACGCTTTTTCCAGTCCTCGAAACAGTCGGAATAGTCTTTTTCCGATATAGCCTTCAAGACCTTCTTCGATTCGGTTTTTATCTCCTCAATCGTGTCAAAACGGCGTCCCCGCATTGGCTTTTTGAGTTTGCTGAATAACCAGAAGTCGCACGGAGCCAAATCAGGCGAATACGGTGGTTGCGGAACGATATGAGTCGAGTTTTTGGCAAAAAAGTCGCGAAGAACCAATGCAGTATGACATGGCACCAATCGAGACTTGACGCGTTTGAGACACAAATCATCCTTCAAAATGGTTTGGACCGAGCCAAATGATATTCCAACACTATCAGCGAGGTCTCTCATTGTCAGTCGACGATATTCAAGCACCAAATCTTCGATTTTTTTGGACATGGCCTTCGTCGGTAGACGTTGATGGTCGTCCAGAGCGCGGTTCGTCTTCAACGCGTTCTCGGCCCGCTTTGAACTCGTTGTACCACTTATAAACGTTTTTTTGTGCCATAGTTTGATCACCAAAGGCCTTCCGTAACATTTTCAACGTGTCCGCACAAGAATATTCGTTCCGCAAACAAAATTTGATGCAAGTTCTTTGCTCAACAAAATCACCCATTGTAAAAATCGAAAAATTCACTTTTGGTTGTTTACAAAAACACGTGTAACTCGGAGATAATTAAACCTTTTGACAAACAGACACTTGGCAAATGTTACAGACAGTCCTACCAACCTAGGAAAAAAAATTACCTGCCTTCCTAATGCCCGGAAGTTTTAAATGACAATTTCACCTTACTTTTTGATCACAGTAGTACTCTTCTTCAAGAGTGATACATTCGTTCCAACGGTTCTCTAACTTTTCGATGCCGTTTTTGTAGAACGATTTGTCTTTGTTCTCAAAATAGGCCTCCGTTTCGGCAATCGCCTCAGCATTTGAGCCAAATTTCTTTCCCCGGCGCATCTTTTTAATGTCTGCAAAAAGCCAGTAGTCGCTGGGGGCTAGATCTGGAGAGTACGGTGGGTGGGGAAGCAATTCGAAGCGTAATTCGTTCAATTTAACAATCGCTTAACCGCGCTCCGAATCGTCGACACGTTGTTGTTTTTGTTCCGGTGTGAGCAAACGCGGCACCCACTACGAAAGCAATTTACACATGCTCAAATTGTTGTGTAAAATTGTAAACACGTTACCTTCTGATATCTTTACGGTCTTTCAAAACTATTTTGTGGACCTTTTTTGTGTTTTTTCGGAACAACTGCCGATTTTGGGCGACCAGAGCGTTCAGCATCATCGATGTTTGTATGACCGCGTTTAATTTTAGCATACCAGTCAGTTGATTTCCCTGGTGCAGAGTCTTCGTAACGCTTATTAAGCCACTGTTTGGCTTCAACAGCATTTTTCCCCATCCGAAAACAATGTTTAACACGTTCCGTGCCGAGCTTTTTTTACTCGAATCTTCACACTTTGATATTTTACTAAAACTTGATGTATTACGTGCAATTATTAATTCTCGTACACATAACAACGTAACAAAAACTTATCAACGCCCATTCTTGCGGTGGAAATTGATTCTTCGGTTCTAAATTTCTTGTAAACAATTTGTTCAGTTCACTAAGTAAACATGCAAGCGTGTACCATCGATGGTACACGTGGCACGCAACGTGTTAATCGATACACGAAATTCTTCTCCAACCATTGTTTTGAAAATTACAAAACTGGGGTCACTAAAACCACTGTCATCTGTAAACTAATCATCAAAATGTCATGAAATTTTGACATGTATCGTTTGAAGGATGCTACTATCCAGAAATCATATAGGTTTGTCAACAGTGTTGCCATATATGTGTCAGACCGAAGACTTATTGAATAACATGTTAATTCCTCTTAAACCGAAATCAAATTCTATTTGTTCGTGATCTCGGTCACGGTTTTCCTACCAGGAAATCTAGGAGTTTAAACCATCTCGTGGAAGAAACGTGTGTGACACAGATTTCACCGATGGATTGCGGAGCGGAGCTTATGGTTGAAATCGGGAGGAAATACCGAGAATCGTAGAGAGCGAATGCGAAGGCGCGTGCGAAGCTACCGAAACCGAAACCTGCGAGCCGGTGAATCCCCTGGATTTCAACTCGTGGACACATAATGCGTGACGAATCCGACGCCGACGCCGACGCCGGCGTCCAGAATTCTCGTCACGAAATTTCCAGATGGTCCGAGGCAGTGAGATTCGATTGTACACGTCGGCTCACGGCCGCGGACGCCGTAGAACCTGTCAAGAGCGACCGGGGTCACGCGGTTGGATGCGATTTGAATGAGAAAATCGCCATTCAATTGGCTGACCTTGTTCACATTGTCGGCTCGTGACAATGATCGAACGGCATCGCGGTTCCGGAACCGATTTTCCTGTACCTAGGTACATATTGAACGATATTCGACGATGTTTTGGAGCGTTGAACTTTACGCATTCGTCGATCGCGTCGGTTGCGCTTACTTTTCTGCCGACACTTGATACAGAAAGGTGAAAGGTTTCGCCACCTAGGATAATCTGTTTAATGAATCATCACCATACTTGTCCAATGAATAAACACCGTTTATCGTGCTCTTTTCACATTACAATGTTTACAACAGCTTTATTATACACCTATGAATGTCTTGCAGATACCACTTCGTATTTGCTTATAATTTGTTTCATTTCCATTCATTTGTTTAATTTCAAGGTAAGTATTACTACTTGGAAGCTATAATTTGTATTTTAAGCAGTGCTCAATGTAAAAGTTAGCTCGTGAAATAGTTTGTACAATATTATTCTCTGTTATATCGCTGTTAATTCATTCAGAAATTGTTAATTATTTATTGGTCGTTTTTTGACGTATTTTTCACTAATTCTTATTACGCTTTTAAAAAATGCTACAATTATAAAAAAATGTTAAAATCGTGTTCAGGAAAGCATGGACGGTGCAGAAAAATAAGCTATCTTCTGAGAATCTCATCCAACGGATTAAATAACGATTCGTGAATACAATAATGTCTCCCTAATTGATGCTCAGATTGTCCTCAAGAATGGACAATTTGGGAAGAGTAGATACGATTATTCAAGTCTTACAGCTCGTTCTTATAATTGTTGACAATGGGTAATTATAAAAACAAAGTTGCAAGGCTCGAATAATTGCATCTCCTCTTCCCAAATTGTTCATTTTTGTGCACAATCTGAGCGTCAGTTAGGGAGACATTACTGTATATTCCAACAGACACTCAACTTAAGCGTTCGTTCTCTGCACAGGTTACCTCATCAGCTATGTGTCTGGAAGATTTCGCCGAATTTCACAGCCGAATTCGTTGTCGCGTCTGTGACAATATTAGGCAACGGTTTAAAGCGTTGAACTTCGCCTACCATTTCACTCGCGTTTCCATCTCCGCTGCTGCTCGACACGCAAACTCGGAATGTTTCATCAGCAGTTTTTCTGGGAACTATCGTCGACGTATCTAGCCGAATTCGCCGATCGATGAGTTTAATGGAGCCATCATCGTCGGCTAGACGTCGAGGCTGAATAAATGGAGGCAGCGTCGTCGCGCAGCAATTCCGAACCGAGACGAGCCAGAAAGCTAAGAGTACCGGAACTTTGCGTTCCAATTACCGGCTCGATCGAAACCCCCGCCCCTCGATAATAATTCCAACCGAAGTTATCTTTCAATAAAGCCTCGGCGCAGAAGATACGCCGGCGTATGATCCAGGAAGCTTTCGGAGTTGCGTAACTCGCCACAAGACGGCGATTTGACGACCAGCGTCGCGTAAACTTTCACATCGCCGGATGCAAAATTGTCGCAATGATAAAGAGGCTCTCCGAGTGGCCGGCATAGTTCGCGGCACATCGAGCGGAAAGTTTCACGGTTTCGCGGCGACTTTCGGATGAATCTTCCGCTTTATCCTCGCCGGAGCTCGTAAAACGCAGCCAATCGCTCCGCGAGTAACCCCGGCGGCCCCGATGATACACGGTCGTGAGAGAGATTTAGTCGACTTCGATTAAAGTAGTCGGAGCATGGTTGCTCGAACCCTTGTCGTGCCAACAAAAAATTTCATTTCATCGCGCGTCCATATTTACTAGAACGCTGAAATATCTCGACGACGAGGAAACAGAATTCCGACTTGAAACATCTCCACAATATCAAAGTCGTTCAATTAACGAAGCCGTAACTAGAAAGTTCAAATTTACCGCGGAGAAGATTGGTTTAACTCTTTCGTACTCTATAAAAAAGACCTAGTAGCATTCGGTCCGTTCGATGTATTGGAATAAAAACGAACTTCAAAATCTAGTTAAAAATTGGTCAAAGCACGGGAAGGAATTGAGATGGAAGATCCGTCGACCTGGACTCCTTTAAATATCCCTAAAATATTTTATTTTCTGTTTATCGTGTTCTAGACGTCGAGCATAATCGAGTCCAAATGATGAGAGAGAAGAATAAAAACTTTTGCACGTAGAGGTACGATAGTAAAATGATTGTGAAAGCTGTATACGGGATGGGCGGACGTCGCCGTTTTCATTTACTGACCTATGCGATCGAACGAGAGTTCGATGTCGATTATCTTCGAAAAGAAGATACGTCGGACTTATTTTTTCACGCCGAATCGCTGTAGATGTACGCACGCTCGGTGCAACGTCGAGAAACAAGAGATACCTTGGCGAAAGCGATTTCGAATGAAAGGATAACATCCCGTAAAATGTTACACGCCTTTGAAAAACGATAAAAACTTTGTTTAGGATTAGTACAGTTAATATCGTTTCTTTCGCAATTGTTGAGACTTTGTTCCTCCAGGTTTTCGTGACGGGGCGAAGGTGATTGGGATCGACAAAATCTGTGGCGTTATCGCGAGACGTCAGCAAAGATTAAGGAAAAGCGAACGATTCTCTCGAATCGATTGCATCAACGGCGTAAGGTAGGTAGAGAGTAACGTAGCCGGTTATCAGGCACTTGTAATTCATTATTTTTTGAATGGTTGTGTTGCGAAGGAACGATATCGAGCGCGCAAACAGAAACACGCCGACGTTAAAAACCAATCGCGCTCGCATAAAAATACAGATAAAAATCGTTCCGTCGAAAATAAAGTCTATCGAGATCAATGTCGCATTGAAAATGACCTTGCTTATCGGTTCTTTTATGTGCTAGAGAGACGAAGAAGCTGTCGTCCTCTTCTCTTACTAGCTCCCGACTTTTTAATTATTTTATTCGAGGGGAATAGGCGGTGCTCCGAACGCGACAAAATGGCGTCGCCGCGGCGGCGACGGCGACGTTGTTAGGGCATTCGTTGGAAAATTCACAGCGACAGCCTGAATCATTATCTTCGTTATCGTTGCGCTATCGGAGCAAAGGGAAACGGGGAAAATCGTTCGTGCGATACTGCAGTCACGATCGAAACACAGCGATAGATTGATCGCTCGTTGGTGCATTGTACAAATCTTTCCATCGCGATACCGTTTCACTTATCGCGATATCGCCAGAACAGAATTGTCATCGAATCATGATTGGGAGACGGAAAGTCCTTCGTACAATGATGCGGATCACGTACGCCGGCATAATTGATTTCCTGACGTAGAATCACCGACCGACCACTGTCACCGCAAACACACGATTCGACGAATTTCTTTTCTTTTATTTCGTGGTAGGATTTTTAAATAACTTTAGGCAGTACATGGTCGGACGTTCCGCGAACGTCTTGAAATGGTTTTGCTACAAATTGCCTACGGTTCGTAGGACGAATCTTTTGATTTACGTTGACTTAGAATTACCGATGAGAGAATGACATAGAATTTGAAGCGTCTACGGTGGAAATTACGACTCGGCATGGTAGATCGGAAATTTGACGCACCGATTCCGGCGACCTAATAAATAATGGACGCGAGGAAGAGGAGATGGAACGAACGCGTTTGCTCGTTCGAAAAACAACAGAGCCATTCGTCAGTGCCGTCGGAACCGTAATCGGCGCGATGGCTAATCGGACCCTCGATGTCTCGATGCGCCGAGCGTTGTTCCCTGAAATGTACGCGGTGCGACGATTTCATTTCCAGATTTCCAGGAAAGCCGATTATCCGACTAGATCCTGACTTCGTTCCCCACGATTTCTGGCCTCTTCTGAAATTAACGAGTGCGCTGTGTCGACAATTTGTTTACCACCGAGACCGACATGCGGCGCAGACCTAACGAGAGCGAACCGATCGTTGACCGCGATAACTCCTCCGCGTGTCCTCGAGCATGGGTGAATTTGTATCGCGAGGCAGATCGATTGTTAGACTAATTAAATAAATTGAATTCGTTGGATGAACAAGAGTTTCGCGAGGTTCTTCGATGAGCCAATAGGATGAGATGAGTGTCGAGGGCCCTCTCGAATCGTCGGTCGATCGAGATTAATTTGGGAGCGGGATGGAGAGCGCGAGGATTAAGTTAAAATCGAATGGACCATATTCGATGATGATGGTTTAGGGAATAGGTCTCATCGAGTTCCTCTGGCCCTGCAGTACGATCAGAATCTCGGGGTAGGTTTTCCCTTTGGTCTCCGGGACCAGAAATTGCGTGAAGGCTGTCGCGCCGGCCATAACTACGGCGAAGATCCAGAACGTCACGCCTATGCCCAGCTGTTCGTTCATGGTGGGGAACATCTTTGTCACCACGAATACCATGAACCAGTTCAAGGTCACGGCCACGCTCGACGCCACAGCCTTCGTCTCAGCGGAGAAAAGCTCGCCCATCAACATCCACGGTACTGGTCCAAGCCTGAAATAATCAGCATTCACAAAGATACAGCCGATCGATTCTCGACGCTCGGAAATGCATTGCTGCAACGAAAGTCTTCCATCGAAAAATCTGAAAATATTCACCGATGCGTGCTCGGTTCCTTGCATGCTGTTCGATTTTTTTCAGAATTTTCGAACGAGTTTCCACCGAGAGAAAAAAGACTTTTCCGATACAAACCCTACTGAGAAGGCGACCATGAAGACGATCAAGGAAGTCAACGGCAGCCATCCTAACGAGCCGACGTCACTTCCGCTGTCTTTCTGCCTGAAGTAGTAACCCAGTGCGATCAGGCTGACTGACATAACAGCCGTGGAAATCATGAGCAGCGGCTTCCTTCCGGCTCGATCCACAATCAACGCCGCGACACCTGACATTACCAACTGCGACACAGAAACAAGCGTAAACATCGTTTGCAGCCAGCGACCGGCCTGTTAATTTTCCCCGGGCTAACGAGACGCGATTAAGATCGAACAATGGCGAGCATTTTCGTTGACAAGACCGTGTCTTTTTGCCGGTCAAATTATCATTTTCCTTCGTGCGGGCACTACGGCGAACCGCAATTTCGTGTCTTCGAAGCAAAACGCTACCTGGAGAACGCTGATTGCTCGTGAAAAAGAATGCAAATGTTTTCATTGTCGGTAACGCTAACGCGATTCCTTCCTCTTAAGCGGAATAACTATTTCGTTAGAAAACAAAGCATCGCCTTGAAGCTAAAACGCGTTTCATTCGCGACTCACGGTATTATCGCAGCGAACGTGACGGAGTTGCAAAAAAATACTAAAAAGCAGACAAGCTGTCATCTGCCGGCTAAATAATTATCTCGTAGGTTTTACTTCCGTGACAGTTTCTATTAAGTATAACAGCCTACCGGCCGCGTATTCTTCGATTAAAACTTTGATGAAGCACCTCGGTGTTATCTATCTGCAAATCAGCTCTGAATGCATTATCCACGAGGAAGTCTGTTGGCAGACTTTTTAATACTTTCTAGGTCTTAAAGATTCATAACGACACCACGTCCGTCCTGACTATTCTCATCTGTGAACGCTGCGAACGATCTCATTCTTTTTTTAACGCTACCACTACTTTTTCTTGTTGCCCTTTTTCATTGTCGAAATGTCTCTCTGTGAAATATTAGAACAATTTACGAATCGAACGTTATACGCTATGTAATAACACGCCGACGTGCATAAAGTAAACTATTATCTGTCGTGTAAGAGGTCGTAAATTTCGCGTGTACGCGCGACGCTGGTAGCGAAGGTGTTAATCATGCGTCGTTTACCAAGAAGATTGGAATCTTAATTGTTTCGCTCGCCAAGCGTTCCGTCAACTTGTCGACGAGGGGCGGATCAACGTTGGGGAAACGAGGGAAGGAGCAGTGAATCCGCAATGCAAACCGAGGAGAGGACGGAAACGAACCTGGACCAGGGCCACGAGAATGGAGGAGAGTGCCGGCGGCAGAGAGCTGCCGGCCGCCTCGAAGATCATCACCGTGTAGAAGATGACAGCGTTCACGCCGGATGCCTGCTGGAAGAACATCATCCCGAAGGAAGCTATCATCGCCTTCCTCTCGACTGGGGACTTCAGCATGTCGAGGAACGACGTCTGCCTGTCGAGGCTGTCGTCCGCAGCCTTCTGCATCTCTTTCAGCTCCTCTCCGGGATCGTAGTCGTCGCCCCTGAGCACGTTCAGCGCCTCGGTGGCTTCCTGTTTCATCATCTTGCCCTGGGAACATTAATCATATCGGCTCAGTAGCTCGGTCGTTGCCTGAAATTAATTTCCAGCAATTAATTCCGAGACCGTCCGATGGGAGACTGTGCTCGCTACAGAACCAGGCATTCTATCGACCGGCTCCTAGCCTCCTAGGCCGGACACCGTTTTTAGTCGCGCAACTGCTGCAATTAATCCTGATAACTCGTACCTCGAAATAAGTCTACAAAAATGATCGCAACATGTTTAAGCGTTTTCAACGTTGTCGCTGTGCTCGGGAGAGTCAATTTTTACTTCGAAATCAGCTTTCCCGAGGGCCGAGTCTGTTCTAATGGAATTCGACTGGAGAATGCTGAACGATTTAGCTCCAAGGACGCTCACCACCAGCCACACGGGAGATTCAGGCATAAAGAAGAAGGTGCCGCCGAAGGCGACGATGACGAGGGCGCAGATGATGGCGAACCAGGTGTAGCTGAGGAAGCTACCGAGGACGAAGGCGAGGAATATCCCGACGGTGAGGAACAACTGGAACATGGCGCCGAGGGTTCCTCTGATCGAGACCTCGGAGATTTCGGAGATGTAGGTCGGCCCAAGGACGCAGCCAGCGCCCACGCCGAGCCCGACTATGAATCTGGCGATGTAGAGCAGCACGACCGAGCTGCTCACCAGAATTATCAACCAAGACAAGAGGAATGGCGCGGCCAGCAGGAGCAGGGACTTCTTCCGGCCCAATCTGTCCGCCATCGTTCCCGAAGGCAGAGCTCCGGCGATGGCACCCAGGGCCAGCAACGAACTGACCCAGGAACCTTGATCCTGGGTCACTATCATGAACGAGGTCTCTTTCTCGAGCTGAGGAAGCACCGGGGACGTCCATGCCAAGGCTGTGCCGATTCCAACCACGAGAAGACAGGCTGCGAAAGGAGAATGATAGAAAAGTTATTAGTCGTCGGGTTCTTATAACATTAGGTCGAGTTGTAAATCAACTTCCGGTGCAGCTAGATAGAATCTGTTGTCTATCCACTATGAGTCACCGGGACAAACGAGTTTTTGATTTCACTGAACAGATAAGGGTTCAAACTAAATGAGATAAAAGACAGCAAAAAGATTTTTAAAAAAGAAGAAATAAATGTCTGATAAAGAACGGAAGTTATTTGTGACTAATAGAAATAGTAGGGACATAGCTACAATAAATTATGACAGGTTAGCTTAAAGTAGATTAGGGTAAGATATGTGGAAGGATGAGTGGTTTCGCAGGAAACAGTGGTGGTAGGACAGATTTCGAAATGTATGTCGAGTTCAGCAGGCCGGAATTCAATAAATATAGTGGTGTCTAGGTAGAATCTGTTGTTCGTGTCTATCCACTATGAGTCACCGGGACGAACGAGTTTTTGATTTCACTGAACAGATAATGGTTCAAACTAACTAAGATAAAAGACAGCAAAAATATTTTTAAAAAAGAAGAAATAAATATCTGGTAATGAACGGAAGTTATTTGTGACTAATAGAAATAGTAGGAACATAGCTACAATAAATTATGATAGGTTAGCTTAAAGTAGATTAGGGTAAGATACGTGGAAGGATAAGTGGTTTCGCAGGAAACAGTGGTATTAGGATAGATTTCGAAATGCATGTCGAGTCCAGCAGACCGAAATTCAATAAATATAACGGTGTCTAGGAATTTCTGAACAATTTCTATTGAAAAGCAACGTTCGGACACTCTATGCGAAGCGATCGAAATTTGCTTTGCAGTGAATGCAAGTGGGAGATTATTGGGAGCCATCTTTTCGATGAAGTCACGATTTCGCTATTCTCTGACCCAGCAAAGTGTGATTTATTATTGGAACTGTGGCGCGATATTGTATCTGCTTCGTAGAAAAGTGTATAGAGTGAGTGTCACGATGTCTATTATCACCTTGAATATCTCTGATACAGTGGTAACGAAAGAAAGATTTGTTTAACCAGGGCCGGTAAAAAATGGTCATCGAGGACAGATAATGATTGCCGCACAGGTGGAGTCGTTTGCGAGATACGAACGACCTCCTATTCCTTTTTTTTTTAAGCATTTACCGTCCCATTAACGTGTAATCACGGTTTTGATTAATAACACGAACGGCTGTTTTAAAAAATGGCTGATTTTCAAGTTAGAACGAAATGTTGATGTTATTATCTCGCAGTCGTTCGATTCCCACTCCGTTTCGATTCTCCTCCGACCGAAAAATACTCGTGGGAACTGAAAACATTTCTGTCTTACGTAACAAATCGATTATCTACCGATAACGTAGCTTTTACCGGCAACCGTATCTGTTACACATACAGTTAATTTACTAATTAATTGATTTTCTGTCGGACAAGTACGCGGCCGCGATACGCGAGACAAGCGTTGCGCTAACAAATATATTTCTATCGTGCAAGAATCCCTGTTTCTCGGATCCTTCTTTCGGTCGATTATAGGTAATCTCTCGATAAAATTTGAATAATTCCAATCTTCCTGAAACCTTGAAAACATTGGTATCGATCGAAGAAAGTCTTTAAAATACTTCGGAACCTTCGGCGGGGTACCGTTATTATAAAAATTCCTGTCACTGACATAAAATTAATAGCCCTCGTAAGGTAGGCGAGGTGTACACGGTTATTGGAAACTTCAAAACCGAATTTCACGCTATTCACGCGTACCCAGAGAAAATTAGGGCACATATCGAATGCATAGAAATTTACAATTTAACGCGTCGACGTCCACGTTGAATTGCTCATGGAACGTCGCGCTCTCTTATTCCATACATGAATAAAAATCCCTGCTCCACCTGAGCGTTTATTAACGACGAGCGCGCTCGTGCCACTAATGATCCGGCCGAGCTTTAAAGTAGCAATTCCACGTCGCCGGAATGAGACAGAAATACTTATTGCAGTAGGTAATTTAAACGAAACACTGCACCGAACCGCGCGCGGTCTAAGCGACTCGGAAAGCACCAGATGTCACGAGGCTCCTCACTTCGGTGGATCAACGGCGGATCCTGGGAGAGGATCTAGTGGACGGGGTTAGGTGGTGACGCGGTTAAATACCGGAAATCGAAGAGAGGTACTGCCACAGCTTCCTGCTCTCCTGGCGGACGGGTGTCCCATTAATCATCCCTGTGCCTTCCATTTCCTCGAGATGATTCTTGAACGGTTCTCGGGTGGTCGTTGAGCGGGATCGTCAGCGTGGATTCTCGGCGAGCTATCGACGGCCGGCCGATCGGTCTTGCACGATCGAGCACGAAAATATCGATCTAGGATTTACGGATACCTCGACCAGTTCCTTTCACACTTTCTGATAGCACGATGTCGGATCAAGTGCACGACATCTCGGATTAGGCAAAGCCAATCGAAGGAAACCGAATGATCGCCGGTACTTGGGGAGGGTCATCATATATCACGCTCGTCACTATCTACTCATCATTATCGCTCTCCACCACTATCGCTCAAGATCGAGGCGAAAAACTTCGAGAGACGGCGCTTCCGCGTCCCCCGATCCATCGAGGTCCGGGATCATCGGCGTTACACGTGTATGTATAGGCCGCGGTGTCGATAATTGTACTGTTTGGAAAGGTGGAAACGCCTATCGACGACTTGTCCCGAATTCTGGATACTTGACCGTGACTCATTCTCGAGAGGTAGACAAGCAGAAATCTCGATATTTCAACCTGCTCGCCGGTCCCGTCGATGGACGTTACTTTCGAACCGTCGAATCATTGTTTTCTTTGTGTCTTCTCGCTGACGCAATGCGGCCACTTTCGCCGAATGATCGTATTGGCTGCTGTGCTCCTCGGGGAACCTTTCCCTTTACTGTAATGGTATTCTTGCTATAATGGTATACAGGGTGTCAATGGTATCCTGGGGTCATTTGAAGCAACTTTTTCCTTTGCGAAAATTTTCTCCGAGGCTTCGTTTACGAATTATTAGCGAAAAACACTGACCAATTAGAGGCGAGCTCGGCTGGCGCGCGGCGGCCCAGCCAACGTGTGCACGGAGCTCAGTTCCGCTCATTGGCTCGGCCGTCTCGCGCCAAATGATCTCGTCTCTGATTGGTCACTGTTTTTCGTTAATAACTCGTAAACAAAGCCGCGGATTGCATTTTTGTTGAGGAAAAAGTTGCTTCAAATGACCTCAGGAATCCCCTACTTTCGGATTGCGAGACATTTTTGGGACACCCTGTATTTACTGTATTTTGATACTAATTTTTGCTATTACACCTTTTAAAGTGCAAAATAGCAAAGATCTTTATGCCAAACGACTTTCCTTCGAAATATGTTTTTATACATCACGTAGATTAACCTTTTAGGTACGACTGAATTCTGCGCGAGGCTATTTCTCTGGACGGCAGAGTCTAATATGTACTGTACAGAGTGTCTGTATATTCTGACTGTATATTGTTAAGACTGTTGTAAATCGATGTGAAGACAAAAGAAGTGTGAAACAATGCATACGGAGACGATTATTTAATTCAAACGATGACCGAGTGAGCTATTAGAGTAAGCCACTATAGTGGTGCGTGGTTCAGAGAGATGACATCGCGAAAGCCACTATAGTGGCGCGTCGTGCCTAAAAGGTTAAGAAAACTATTGAGATGAAAGAGTTAAATGACACACCCTGTGTATCTCGTGCCACGCCTTTGTGAACGTTCAACTCTCCGACACTCGATGAAAAAATTAATCCTCCATTAAAAATTGAACGCTTCGCGAAACTCCGGCCCGTTTCGAGAGTTCTCGTTCCTCTGTTGGAACGAATATACTTCCGAACAAAAGTATCCGTCCATCTTTCCCGGCAAAGATGGATTATTACGTCCCCCATTGAATTGGAACAGGCTTCCCCCAAAAGACGATTTCATCCCTATCCCGTCGAATCCCCGCAGTTTCCGATGGGAGCGGAAGCACGTGAAAGCTTTCCGAGAGCTCTGCGACCAAGCCAATAGTGAGGGAAAAACAACAAAAAGTTGCCGGTGAATTTTTAATTAAAAGGGATCGTCGTCTTTGGGAGGCGAGGTGGGAGTCGACTTGGCTTGAAACTTGACTGAAAGGATAGACCTTGAGCGAAAAACGCGAGCATCAATTGTGGATAGTGGAACGTCGAAGGAAAAGATATCGATTCCCCGTGAGTGGCACGTTGCATTTTATTTTCCACGATAGCGCCGGCGATATGTTGATGATCGATTTCCATTGGTCATCGTGTTTTCGATGCCGCAGCCTTCGACTTCGCGAAGTACATTCGGAAGTACATTCCCATTGAAAGCAAAGATATATTCTTTTCCTGATCCTTTTTTATCTCTCGAAGGCTGGGTCCAAATTCCTATTGTGAATGTAACCTTGCTCTCTCGATCTCGAAATTATCGGTAATCCAATATCGTTCGGTTTCAGATTCTCATCGTTTATTTAATTTCGAGTAGGGCCGATCATTCACGTCCGAGTGGTCCTCTTCAAGCGGTTAATTCGATCTCCCGAATCGGCGTTATCGCGCCGTCAAATTTTCAAGACGCTGTAAACAACGACTGACATATCGATGATATTGATATGTCGCAGATACTCCTATCTGGCGAGAGGGAAATCAGCGCGGCGACGCGATTGATCTTTCGGAATTTTCGTGTAAAATCCCGCCGAACAGTCTGGTATTACGGTTTCGTTCTTCGCAGCGGCAGTAACTGCAAGCGACAATAAAAACCACGCAAATAGGAGCTCGCTAGTTTCAGCTAATACGCGGAACGGGGCACACGGCACGTGGGCCATCGTTTTGATTCGTTATCAGCGATAATCGGGCAAATCGGTGAGCAGTATCCGCCGCGACGCCGCAGAAATCTAATTATTTCAGGGTGCGCTCGCCGTTCCCCGCTAAAACGGTAATCCTCCGCAATTTAAGGGAAAATTCAATTGCTCCGTAGAGAATATTCACAAATTAGAGCCGAAAGGTGCGCCTGTTATCACGCGCCAGCCGTTTCGTGCCATAGACTTCGAGTTTCAGCTTGGATTCGAATTTCTCGGAGGAAAATTGAATTGAAAATATTTCAACGAAGGAAACAAAATTAGTTGGAACGTAGGAAATCGGCAGAGCCGGCCGCGGGACGGGCCGTCAAAGTGAAACGAAAATTCAATTAAATTTTGCACGGACGGCTGCTGCAAATTAGTCGTTTGTACGCGCCGATCCGTCGAAAATCCGGTCAACAATGGTGGTGCCGGCATACAGGGATCTCGTTTTAATTGAACGAAATTTATCAGGCAATTGAGAAAATTCGCGACATTCAATCGCACCGATTGGGCAATTAAATTTCTTCTTATCTCGGAGATTTTAATCCACGGTCTACTAATAACAATGAAACTTTGAATTTGCCCAGACCAAAAAAGACGATTGCTGGCTTCGTGTTAATCCCTAAAATGACACTGTCTGTAAGCTAACGAGGAGATGTTTTTTGTGCAAACAATTATATCGGCATGTGAACGGTCGGTTCCCAATTTAGCCGAAGCTTAAATCGCGAAAAATCCGGGAGCCGGCTCATTAATTTCTTTGTTTGAGAAGCCTACACACAATTTATAGCCGGATTATGATCGCATCGGCGAAAGGATTTTCTCGAGTGTTTGATGCGCGAATGCACACATTGCCTGCCGATAAATCAGTTGGCGACGGAACTTATCTTAATCGCCGCGATGTTTGGCGAGCAATGGCAATGAAACGGTGCCAGTAAATCAATGGCGACCACCTTTGATTCTCGACGATACCGGGACGATGCAATCCTTATCAAGCCTAGGATCCTTATCGAGCTCGTAGGAACTGCTGCTCGCCGAGGAAAATGTTGATCGACATTGACGTGCATCGATCATGGAAAATTTGAAGCCGCATTTGCGGTACTCTAACTGTGCATAATGCAACTTTTGCTAAAGCTATCTAGCAGAAATTGCAGTCTCGAGCGAATAGCAAAATATGGACTGAATAGATATGGAAAAGAACGTGGGTAAAACTTCTCGAAAGATCCATAAGTCGGTCAGGTAGCAGCGGTGTTTGTTGAAGTACAATACAGGTTAGGCGCTCCGAATGAAAAAGCGAACGCAGGTAGAACTGAATCTAAATTGCAATTTAAGTGCAAAATAGCGCGCAATCATCGCGTTCGGTAATTTTGTAACGGCAGTGTGCTGGCGAAGTTACGTCCTAGGAAGCCACGGAGCGTTATCAGAGATTGATTTCTTGGGCAGATTAGATCCCAAGCCACGATCTTACCTAATCCCGCGGAAATTACATCAGAGTACGAACGCTACGCGACGAGGAAAGTTCGAGCACCGGTTTATTGCTTTCAATATCCCTAGAAATTCTGAATTTCAGAAGTTGGAGAAGAGAGATGGCGGCGGGCCGGCACCGCATCTAGTCACTCTGACGGCAATTTGGTCCATTTATGACGTTCGTTCGATCGAGCACGGGGTGCTGATTGAAATACGGGCTTTCATCTTTAAATCAGCTGTTCGGACGAAGCTGCGAACAATTAGGAAGAACCGTGAATCGGATGGGAGAGGATTCTGCAACGGATAAGCTACAAAATGTCCGCGTCGCGACGAGGCCATTTTCCATCGCCGAAAGCAATCTTCCGGTGCAGTTTGAGCCGGACTGTACAATGCATATTCTCGCTGCACTTTTACATAATCTATCGATGCAACGCGTATCTATGTCAACCGAGTGATACGATACTAATTTATCGTCGAGATAAACTCTCAAGGAGTCATTCTATCGTTCGTCAAATTGTGGATAAGAAAATCCTACAAAATATAAGTGCGTGATTTTAATTAGACGCAACGTTTTCACGGTCATTTTCGTGCAACGATATTTTATTGAAACCGATTGGATTCTTGATTGCAAATATAGTCGGTACTATATTCGCGATATTTATTACCGCCGTTCGAGATCGACTCTACAGTCCACCGACAAAAATAAGGATAGCATTGTTTACAAAACTAGAACGGGAGACTACTGATAATGCGATGTATTTAGACGATAGATATCAGTTTTTCTAAGACCGATGAATCACGAATCGAACGTTTCCAAGTGCGCAATAGTTTCTAGGACATCCTGCTAATCGCGGTCTCTTTTGGGTCACCTGTTACAGGTTTCTATATCCGAAACCGAGAAGGAAGGATCGACTGAACAGGGATTCGTATAACGCGAGCGAAATTCATCGGGAACAAACAGCACGGCTTCGCGAAAAATTGGCATTATTCGTAGATCGACCCAGTTTTCGACGATTGATCGGTATCGCGAGGAGATCGGAACCGCGAGGATTCGCGGCCGATTCCTTTGTCGAGTTAATTAATTTTTCGAATCGAGAATGAGGGACGCACTGGACGCCGGGAATCAACGAAACTCAATCTCCGGCGGATGAGAAAATTCTCTGTCGGATTACGCGACTCGCACTCTCGCTCACGCGCGCACACTCTTTCCGGCGGCTACTCTTTAAAAGGTCCCACCATTTTATAAAACAACGACGGCTTTTCGTCTCCTCGCTAGAATTACCGTGAAGCATCCTTCTCTTTGAAAACCACACCGTTGCGAAATCCGAATCGAATAAACTAATTAAACGCTTTGTCTCTCAGAGCGAACATTTCGTTCTCCATCCCCGTAAAAAGCGTCGAGGTTTGATCCCGTATTAATCGCGTCGCGAGAAAATATAAACCCGGTTTCTGAATTAATTTGAAGCTGCTTATTTCGCATTTACATGCGAAAACTCGGGAAAGCTTTGGGTGTTAATTTGGGTGTATCGAATTATCTATCACCTGCGTTCGTTGGCGTCAAGTATACGTTTAATGCGCGGATAAAAATTCGACGAAATTGAAAATGAAATTATTCGAGGAGAAGTTTCAACGAATGTTTTTACCATTTCCTCGTCGAGTGGTTTTATCACAATGCTTTTGTACGGTTTGTTTCATAATACCTACCGATATAACTTTGGGTTCATTGTTTGTCAGTTTCAGACTTTTATTCAACCGGAACGCACTCTCCTCGCGATATCGACGAGCGCACCTTTAGTAAGGAAAAAAAGTTGTTTCTGTCGCGGTTTTCCAGTCGCTGGAATGTCGTGCTTTCTGAAAATGTCGCAGAGGTGCGGCGGCTTTGTTCCGTGTTCGCATATTCCTGCGGATCGCGAGGGTGAAACCGTGGATGAAAATGGCGCGTGTCTCGCCGACAACGATCCCCGCAACATTTCATTAGGGAAATCGGAATTCTGGCGAACGCGACCTTCGAATGTCGGAACGCTTCTGATCATAATATTTTTTCTGCCGTGGCTTTTTCTCCGGCGCGTCGAATCGCGATTTCTACAAAAAAAAGTGCTACGGACAGTGAAAAACTGTTATCGGCGAACGTTCTCCTCTGCCTCTCTCGCCTTTATCTTTTTTGCTCCGGTTTCTAGGATTTTTTCGCCGGCAATTCCGCTCGCAAAAATGAAAAATTCCAGCTCGTAAAAGTGCGCAACATCCGAGCGTGAAAGTCTGTTTCGAAAGTGCAGGTTCGGGTGATACGCTAATAATTCTTCGTCCGCTGGAAAAATGTGCAACTCCGAGATTCCGGGAAAGGGCTAACATATTTTATCGATGATTTATGGTGTCGTTTTAATTTAAGTCCGAATCGAGTCCCGGCACGGGAGGCTCGATGCATCAGAGGCTGACAGAGACGCCAAGAGAGAAGGAAGGTGAAGAAGATTGAAGGACGAAACAAAGAGAAAGATGTAAGGGCTCGCGGGTAAGTTGAGACGGCGTTCTTGAGAAAAGATAAGCGAGAGGAACACCGTGAAAAAGTGGAAACACCGGTATGGCGGACAGGCAACGGAACGAAAACGATGGAGGGCTCTAAGTGAGACGTAGCACAGAATATCTTTCGAAGTTTCTTTCTTTATTGTTTGTCTTAACGCACTTGCAACGATTTCTGTTAAGAGAGGAGAATCAGCGTGATTTTTAGGAAGAATTCGAACGATCAATTACAAGAAAGACGCTGCGGAAGACTTCCTTTAAGAAGACTTTAATATCTTATTGTTCTCCAAGAGAATTACCTCGTCTAGCTCTGTATTATGAAAGTCAATTATACGAGAAGCCAATCAACCGACCAGACTTTCGGCCTCCATGAACTTCAATTAAAAAGGGCAATTGGTTTAAAGAAATTAAAGTTTCCTTTAATTAAAGGATAATGGAAGCACTCCTGCCTTTAGCCGTGCTATCTTCTTCGGTATTTTCCCTAATATACCATGCATATTGGAATAATAAAATTGTAGAGATACGTACCTTCGAGTAATGTTTAATAATCCAGGTTATCTTCACATTGTGACAGGAACAGGGTGTCGATGGAAAGACGTTGAATCTGACAGCGAGGTGTAAGTCTTCGAAAATATCTACCTTTTATTATTCTCCAAAAGAATCAGTTCTCTCGGAATGAATCGTACAAACGTCACAAGGCGAACGAAAAGGGAAAACATCACGCGCAATCGTAGAGGATGTACAACGATCCTCCGTTATGTCAGCGGCCCTGAAGGAGAATGACACAAGTCACGAGACAAATGAAAATCCCACAGTTTGCTCGTGGAACAAAAATATGCCATCTGTCTATATAAATTATGCTTCAAGACTGTGAATTAGTTTCGTGACTCGTGTCCTAGAAGTTAGCGAATCATGTCATCGGGAGTATTATAAATCATGTTCGACGGCCGCTTATCTATCCGACTCCCGTGCGCGATAGAGCTCTATCGGAATAGAATCGAACGTTTTATCCCTTCGTGCGGACGAATTATCAAGTCCGACCGGCGAAATAATAAAGGCCGCTAATAAACTCTGCGAACTTCATCCCCGGGAGAGCATCATTAATAGACCGCGGATCTTCTCGAGCAAAATAAAAATGTTCCCCGTCGTTTCCGGGAATCCTGATCTCCCAGTAATTCGCATAAATCGAAACTAATAGAACGGCGTTCTACTTCATTTCCATCGTGGACGAACGAGATCCGCGGTCTGATCATTAAGTATCGCGCTGGAACGTGTTCCGTGAACCGAGTAGGGGGTTACTTTGCCAGTGCAAACCATCCTCGATCCACATCGAGACGTTTTGGGATCGTGGCAGGGAAACGAGGTCCTCCTCGAGCGAATGAACACGACAGAATAAGTTGAGTCATTTGTCACAACGTAGATTAGGGAATGTGTCGACTTTGGCAACCGAATGAAATGCATCGATGATCTTTGAATTGAACAGAACGAGTTCAGTGTGGCTACACTGAACGAAGAATCGTGAGGAAATCAACAAGAGGATTGTCATGTGATGAAAAATAGTAAAATGAGATAAATTAACGATCGCTTCGACATGGATAACTGAACGTAAAACGACTCGATGATCTTGGGATCGGGATCTGAACCAAACAGGATTGCAGCGTTCCAGCATGAAATCAGCAGGATTATCGTCATTTGTAAGATCGACTAAAATAAATAAAAGGAGCAGAAACACGACGCAATACTCGATCATCGTCGTAAAAGCAAGGTGCGGCCGCGCCACGAACTCGATGGGGCAAAGTAACCCCCTGTTAAGCCGCGTTCCCACTTGAACAACTCCCGGAACGTGTCTCTTGGAAGTTCTGAATCTGTTCTTTAGGTTGCCTAAGCGAGGACGCGACTCGACTCTCTCAGGTACGGCAGCTTCAACTAGAACTGATCCAATTTATCATTTCCTTCGGATCGGAGTGGGGGGAAAGGATGCGGCGAAGCCACCTGAACCTGGAAAGATCCGGACGGTTCACAGCGTTCTACACAACTAGCTTAGCTAAGTATCGACTTACGTGCTAGTAAGGCCCGTGGTGTAGGTAATCAGAGTAATCGGTTATCACTGCGACAGCCCGTTCGCTAGAATGTCTTCTTGGTGGGTGCTGTTCGGGCTGTCGCCGACGCAACGTTTGGAATAAAAATCTAAGTCCGTAAAAATGTTCCGGTGTCTAGACTGGCTGAACATCAGATTAAAAACGAACCTACGCTAAAATACGAGCACGAAAACGCCTCTCTCTCTTTCTCGTGATTTGGTGTAAGGCATCGTACACACGCGTTCGAGGAGCAAAGGAATTCGAGATCTCGGTTCTTGTCATAACCTCGCCCGATCTACGAAGGAATCGACCGGTTCTACGATCCGCGAAGGAAACAGCACGTTTTTACGCCGGGAAAAATGGAAGATCCGTTCGAGGTGAACGTTCCAGCGGTCAGAACGAGATCGACGGGATCGCGTTTGATCGTTGGAGAAGTTCGGACGGTCGGACGATCTTCGATCACCCGGTAGAAACGTTCTCTCGATCGCGGGAAACGCAGAAGCGGCCTAGCCAGAGTCGTCAATGTTCAAATCTTAAGCAACGCGTTGTACATGAAGATCAGCTTCCCATTGTCGGTTGTGTACATCAGCTTGTACCTCCGGCTAGTCATCTTGTCGATCAGAGTCTTTGTCTCCATCTCGCTGTGCTGCGAGCTCCATCGGATCGAGAGGACCGATATCCTCGTCGTCTCCCAGGGGATCGTGTCGAGCACCTGCGCAGAAACAATAGGGGTAGATCGTACATTGTTTGGTAGCCGTATGGCAGAGATTTTAGACAATCACCTGGCCATCCTGCGCGTCGGGGCTGTCTAGGCTCAGGTAGTCCAAGGTAGTCGCGCTGTACGCCAACAGAACGCTGTACAGAGGAAAGCACTTCAACCTCGTCGTCGGCAGGCCTTCGTCCGAGGACACCAGACTGTTCGGACCCTCCCCCAGTTTGGTAACTTGCACCTCAGACTCCTGGTGATAAGTAATCTGCAATCCAAGCGCAACTGTTATGCCCGAATAAAACGTCGTTAGAAGTTCGAAGGATTTGATCTTGATGGTTCGCGGGACTCTTGCCTCTTTGGTATCCTTGTCGGTGCTGAGACAAGCGTGCAGGACCCTGGTCTTGGGGTTCCTGGTGCTCCTGTGGGCCTCGAAGAAACTTCTGGGATCGGTGAGCACGAGGACACCCCTCCAGCTGAGGTTCCTCTCGAGCCAGCCCGTCCCCGAGACAGCTCCTATCTGCGGAACGCGAGAATCCTAATAAGAAAATGAACGCCGCCTAAATGGCCGAGAAATTCCGCGAAGGAAGGCTATTTCCTAGGAGGGGCGGGAAGCAATCTCCCGAGGAGAATATTGCGGTGTTGGAGAGAATCAGTCGGAGGTCTCGGTTAATTTTCTAGCAATTAGACGGATTAAAAGGTCGCCGCTCACCCTGCTAATGTACTCGACGTAGACGCCCTCGCGTTTTCCCTCGGTTAAGCCCGACACATACTTCTCCTCCGTGGTCTGCGTGGCGTTCAGAGGGTCCTGTTGGGTGGTCGGCTTCAATTGAACCTCCCTGATGTACGCCACCAGCTCCGGATTGTCCATCGAGACGCTGTTCAACACGTAGTCCCTGGTCATGTTCGCGTCGAACGCCTGCCTCCTGCAACCGGCATGTCGGCTTCAATGCACACGCGATCCAGGCGGCACACGCACACGCACACGCACACGCAAACGCGCAAGGGCGCGCACATGCAAATCCGCACCCTCATTAAGCAGGACGCGTAATCACGTAACGCATATGCCGATAAGCTGTTCGTTCCGAGTCGGCCACTGAATTTCGCGATGCATTCGGAACCGTGCGGCGCACCGAATACCGCCAACGTCTGCTCGGATAACCGCCCACACTTTTCCACCCGTTTCATCCAGAACAATGCGAAACGGTTTTCCGAAAACCTGCGGATTAATCGGGTCAAGACAGACCATAGTCTTGCAGGCGTTATTTAACACGTTCGATAGCATCGTTCGCGCGCGTCGTGATCTTGCACAGTTAATATGAAGATGGTAAATTTGATAATATTCGTGCAAATTTTCCCGTTTCATCGTTTCAATGATTCATCGAAGAGGTATGTTGCGTTTAATCCCATCATGTACCACTTTTTTCCCAGTTGCAACGATTAGACATTTTTTGACTCGTTTCTTGGAAGAAGAGATAAAATATAAATATTTTATATCTATTGCGTGCTTACGTTTACATTTATTAGAATCTTATTCCGACTTTAAGGAACGGAATTAAATTCATATTTAACAGATTGTTACTAGAAATGAGGAGTGAATAAAATATTTGAACAATGAAGATCGCATCGTCACGCGCGTCGTGATCTTGCAGTTAATATAAAAATGGTAAGTTTTATAATATTCGTACAAATTTTCCCGTTTCATTGTTTCAATGATTCCTCGAGCAGGTATGTTGCGTTTAACCCCATGATGTACCACTTTTTTCGCAGTTGCAACGATTAGACATCTTTTGACTCGTTTCTTGGAAGAAGAGATAAAATATAAATATTTTATATCTATTGCGTGGCTACGTTTACATTTATTGGAATCTTATTCCGACTTCGAGGAACGAAATTAAATTCATACTTAACAGGTTGTTACCAGAAACGAGGAGTGAATAAAATATTTGAACAATGAAGATCAATTATAATATCGGTGATTGCGAGATACGAAATCGTTAAACGTTCTTTTCCGAAGAAGCGTTGCTTCGGCAAGCCGAGACTGGAAATGATAGACATTCCGTTTCAAGGAGATTAATACTTTAAACAGCAGTGTGGTTGGTTCCATAATGTTGCAAGCACGGCGTTAACAGTAATCGTCTTAGACGCTAACAAGCATCGTTGAACGGAGTTTTTCTCGTAAGCGCATTGTCGAGCGACGTTAATAGTCTTCGGCGCAACCGCCGCGAAGGGAAAGGATGATAATCATCGAGTGACCTAGTAATTAGCTCCGTCTAACAATCGCGTTCTCCCGGCTAACGTCTCCGCGGAACGGCGTCGATCTCTCGAGGGGAAAAAGACAATGGCACCGCTTCTTACTTGGCAAACGCGATTTTGCGGACGGCAATTTGTTCCGGTAAATTGACTGAGATTATAAATTGCCCGGCGACCGGTGTTGTTAATCTCTGCTCGATTTTCCTAGACGAGAATGATGTACAACGTTGAATCTTGACGATTCCTATTCTGTCCTCTATATATTTCGCGGAATCGTGACGCGGACAAAAGTTCGTGGAATTTCATTTTTGACACTGTCGGATCGGACAGATTCCTATACAGTGAAAATGCATAAAATTGCCGGTCCACACGGAAATGTTTTATTCATGGACCGGAACTTCGTCGGGTGACAACGAATAACGCGACTTTGCATCTTTTTGATCAGATGCAGAGAGATACGTCGTCCACCGATCGATCCGCGGTCTTCTATTGTCCGTCGGTCGAAGTCAATTAAAAATTCGACCCGATTCATCTTCGACTTATTTGCGAGCGTGTGGAAAACCGTGCGGCCACTCGTGCACAGAACAAACAGCTTCGAGCGAAGTTTCGTTTCACAACGACACCAAAATACATATGCATAATGAAATACAGAAGTATGAGGGGATTGAGATTTCTCTGATTAATACCGTGAGAGAGGAACGAATGAAAATTGTTCTCATTGTAATGCCTTAATTGGATCACATTCCACTTTCAGCCGGAAACGCGGGAAATCCTTAACGATAGTTAATTCTATAATCCGCTAAGAAAACGAAAGAGAAAATGAGCATGAAGATAAAAGAGACATGAACCGATAGAAACAATCCACGCTCTGCTCGGCATTCTCGCCAATTAGCTAACACTGCGTACTCTATCGAGCACACGAGATGCCTGGATTATGCTAGATTGCGTTTGTCAACACTCCGTTGCGAAATAACTTTGGAATCTCGTGTTTCCATTATCTAAAGTTATACCATGTCCCTTGCTCGCTAGACCGCGAAAACAGAAGTTTTACAATTGCATATTAGGTAAAAGTTAATTTGTGTTTTATTGCCGGTGCTAAATTGTCTATTACTCCTAATCGACTGGTAAAGAATATAACGTTTGTTTAAAAAGCGGACCGGTCTGGCCGGTTTCGGTAGAAACAAGTATACACAAAATGTCGTTAGATCCGGTGATAATCGCAGGACGAACTGCCTGCGGTGTTTAAACTGCTGTCGCTGTTATTTATCATTCGAGTCTATTTTGCCAGCGAACACCGAGAACAATAAGGAAGATGCTGCGAATACCATTTATTCTCCGCGAGTTATCCTAATCGTGAGATGAAGCCCGGGTTATTTAAAATCCGATGGACCGACCCGTCGGTTCCACTCTAATCAGATTCTAATATAACTCAATCTCGAGAAGTTCTCCGGGATTACATGAATCTCGAGCAAAGTAACTGTCCCACGGTTCCATTATTCCGGCGATTAAGGTTTACGACGGCTCAAACCTTCTCGAGCCTTTTTTCCTTTTCTCTCCTTCTCTCTCTCTCTCTCTCTCTCTCTCTCTCTCTTTCTCTCTCTTCGTCTCCCTCTCTGAAAGAAAGGCTCCTCACCGAGTTTTACGGGTACCCGTTCTGTCGGGGAATCCCACGGTTTCGTAATTTCTTAACGCACCAGAGAACGTAAAGATTTTTGTAGCCCCGTAAACTGGACTTCCCGAGTGCACCGATATTATTGCACTCTCTTTCTCGCTGCTACCAGCCTGTTCTCCATCGAACAAGCGAAAACGCACCGAATTAAGTCTGCCGCTCAATTAACGTCCCCGTCGTTCCCCCAGGTTTCTTTCCCCCCCTCGTCGATTGGTCTCGCGAAAACGCGCTGATGAACGAGCTTCGACCGAGCAGATTAACGTCGACTTCGTGCGGGCTCCGCTTTAATTTGCCGTCGCTAATAAACCTTTTTCTTTTTCCAGTAAGCCGGTTTACCGACGTGAAAAAGTCGATTGTTTTCGCCGTAATCCTCGCAGCGTGCACGCAGATTATGATAGTAATACGATTAAAACTTTCAGGGTTTGAACAGTTACGTTGGAATTTAGATGCGAACGTTTGGATAGTAGAACAGCTGCTTCGCTACAGTGATGCGTTACAATACGCTCGATTGTCGTCGATTTACACGGTAAAACGTTTCGCACGTACGCATCTAACTTGTACGATTTACATGTGAAACGTATTTGGACAATACAAGAGTATCCGTGCGATGTTCCACTGTATCTTCGACCGATCGAAATATCGAAAATTTCGAAAAATTGTCGAGAGACCCGGTCGACGGATCATTTCCACAACTGTAAAATTCTTTACGACTATTCTCGGTTCCATCGAACAATTTTTCGAAACACATTTTTGAAAACACGCTTCCTGTCGACGGCGATTCGTGTCATTTAATTGCCGACAATTGAGCAATTAGATCGAAATATACCGAGTCGAAATGAACCGACAACCGTGCTCCGTTGGTCGCATAGTCATTGCAAACACGGCTGTCGCGACAAAAGAAAAGAAGTTCGCCGGTGCCGGGGTTAATGGAGGGAAAATGGAGTAACTCACCTCAAAGCCGCTGCCTCGCTCCAGACGAGCAGCAAGGCCATGGCGGTGGAAAAAGCGGCGAGGAACGCCAAGCAAGGTGCTACTTTCCTCCACCAGCTTTTCTTATGGCTGGACATGGTGGATCCGGCCAGCGTGGAGCCCGCCGGTGGCTGCAGGACACCGGTGACCGGCGGCATCCCTGCGGGCGCCATCCTGTAAAATGGAAAAACGGCTCTCGCTGTAGAAACGTGCTTAGACCTGATAAAAAGATAGCGTGGCGACGCGACAAGGGGAAAGTCGAGAGGAAAACAAAGAAAACAGACCGTTACGAGAGAGAATGGTTCGGCTGAACCCCTCGGATCGTTTTATTCCGGCCGTTCCACGCGACCGTCTGCGTGTGTGTGTGTGTGTGTGTGTGTGTGTGTGTGTGTGTGTGTGTGTGTGTGTCGCGCTCGCACACGGTGCGCCGCGTTTATGGCAGCAAAGTAGGAAAAATAATGGTGTCGGAGACGGAGGAGGCACGGGCAGGTCGTGTGGGATGCTGACCCAACCTTCGCAACTCCGTTGCTCTGCAAACTCGTGGATTCTACACTGAAAGCTACCTTAAACAGTATTTGCCGTCTCGAGAGCTTCGGCTCGCGGCTCCCGATTCCACGGCTCCCGGAGCCACGCGACACCCTTTGTTAAAAATGAACAGGTGCCGTGCAACTTTATAACGCGAGTATTCTCTCGACACACCGTCCACCAGATTATTCTGCAATTATTTCTTCAATCAACACGGTCGCGATTTTGTGCGATGAACGCGCTACCTCGCGAAGCACTCCCATTTCCGCGGATATTATGCAACTTTGTCGAATGAATATTCCAGCACGAGCCAGGAGACTGCTGGCAAGAGTCGCTGTAATGGTTTCTACAATTTCCATATTCGCGATTTTGCGTAACAAAGCCGCTGTACGGGGCTTTGTGCAACAGCGTTCGCGCAACGTAAGCGGCGAAATTTCGAGCCAGCCTCCCCGAAGAGTGGAACGATTTCCAACGGGGGGAACTCTTACAGTGGATAGTAAACAAAATGAAGGCGAGCAGAAAGAAGCCGGAAAGTCCAACGGGATCCAATGCCTTTAATGCAGGTTTAATGTCGGACGCAAAGTGGTGGCGGCGCCCGTACGCGCTGAAGAGGCACTTAACATATTAAAACCGTGAGGGACGATAAGCAGTCTAAATGGAACAATAAAGCTCGAACGGACTTGGTCCGCGCGATACTCTTTACCACTCTTTAACCTTTCTCTGGCTAAAAAAAGCTCTCGCTCCCGGTCGCTCTCGTTCAGAGGTTGATTATCGCGGGGCAATTTCGTCTTGGCCTGCACGATACGATCGTCGCGTGTGCAGGTCCTTCGAGGCGATTCCAGAGTTAATGCCGCGTTTAAATTCAGCGGGTCGAGCTCTCGAGCCTAGATGCATATTGCATCGGCGCATACGACGACGGAATAACACGAGACCTCTCATGATTCGAAAGGGAATTCCGCTCGATCGTCGGATAAGATGAAGGAAAATTCAACTTGTTCGAGAGCCACGGTTAATATGCCGTTAATCACAATACAGTAATGTCTCCCCAATTGACGCTCAGATTGTGCACAAAAATTGACAATTTGGGATGAGGAGACACGATTTTTCGGGACTTGAGGCACATTTATACAGGGTGTCCCAAAAATGTCTCGCAATCCGGAAATGGCGGGTTCCTCGGATCATTTGAAGCAACTTCTTCCTTTACAAAAATTTTCTCCGAGGCACCGTTAACGAGTTATTAACAAAAAACAGTGACCAGTAAGAATAGAGTACGGCTGACGCGAGGTGGCCCAGCCGAACAGCGCACGAAGCCCAGTTCCGCTCATTGGCTCGGTCGCCTCGCGCCAGCTGAGCTGGGATTCGACCGCTCGACCGCTGGCGCCGTTGGCTCGGCCGGCTCGCGTCAGCTAAGTGGGATTCGACCGCTCGACCGCTGGCGCCGTTGGCTCGGCCACTTCGCGTCAGCTGAGCTCGCCTCTCATTGGTCACTGTTTTTCGTTAATAACTCGTTAACGGTGCCTCGGAGAAAATTTTTGTAAAGGAAGAAGTTGCTTCAAATAACCTTCCGCCACTTTCGGATTGCGAGACATTTTTGGAACACCCTGTATAGTTACCGATTGTCAACAATTATAAAAACGAGGTGCAAGGCTCAAATAATCGCATCTCCTCTTCCCAAATTGTCCATTTTTGTGGACAATCTGAGCGTCAATTAGAGAAACATTACTGTATTCTGTTTCTTTGTATCTCTTATGTGTCCACGTTTTTGTCGAACGGCTTATTGTACTATTCACGAATAAAATATAATAAAATAAAACATGTACACTCCGCGATCAGGCAACTTGTGGAGCGAATTTCCTTCCACTTTTCTTCCTTCAGCGGCTTGGACGGTGTCGTTACATCATTTTCCGATAAATTAAGCGGCGAATAAAGTTACGACAAGCGAGTCCACGTTAATAGACTATCTTCGGGCCGGGATCAGCGAATTTACCAGCCGACCACACTCGCCCCACGATTATACATAGGCTGACAAGCACTTTTTTTCCGCTATAAATCTCCTGAAAAAATGGCCCCGGCAGGAAATTGCCTCCACTGAAACACGAGCCTCCTCCACAACGGTGCAACTTTGTCCCTGAAAAGCTTTTCCGCGCGGCTATAAACAACCGAGAAATGTTTTCACTTTTCTCATCGGCCGCCTGCCGCGAGTTTTCCTGCGACGAAAAGTGAAAATATCTCCGTTGTTCACGGTCGTACAACTTCCCGAGATGAAGTTGCGACGATGGTGCGAGAGCTATTTTTTCCCCGAGGCCCGCTTCTTCGCGAGATTTCAAGGCTAAAATGTACTTCCGTGGCTGGAATATCGAAACAAATAGAGAGAAGGATTCAACCGTGTATAGCAAGCGATTCCGGAAGGGACAGTGCGGGGCCGTTTTCACTTTTCGGGGTATTTGGACACCCTGTGCGACGGTTGTTTGCGCTCGGATGACAGAGATACCTCCCGGCTCCGCGAGGCGGTTTATTTAACCAAGGGCAAGCCGGAATCCGAAGCCGAATATTTGCAGGGAGCGACAGAGAGCTGTCGGACGACTTAACTTTCGCGCGATGCTGCAACGTAATAGCATCCGAAACATTCCGATGCTACTGCTGCTGCTACTGCTGCTGCTACTGGTGCAGCTACTGCGAGATTCCGGTTGCAGCGCGGCCCTCTCGTTCGCGATCGACTCGCGCAATATTGCTCGGTAACGGCGTTTATTACTCCGCCGCGGCAAAATGCGGGGAGAAATGGTAAACAGAGTTTTCCGGGCGCCGGCGGCCCGCGAAAAGCCATCGACTGTGGCAACAACGGAAAATCGGAGCAACGAGAACGACGTCTGTAAGCGCGAACCGCATGTTTCCGATACCTTTCCGCGACCGCTTTTTCCTCGAACTTTTCGCGAAAATATTTTCAAGCAGGGAAAGAGGACGCGCCGGTTTCTTGCAGCCACGAGCAATTAGACGGGGGACGGAGAAGCGGAGACCGAGGGTGACGTTAACGAGAAGACGACTACAGTGCGCGGGACGTGAAACATAATTGAACTCGTTTCGTTTGGATTTTTCAACGTTCACGGCTCCTTGTTCCGACGTTATGGAAATCGCGCAGATTCTCGGGGCAAATTGTTCCAACAGACTCCGCGAGTACATGTGAGAAAACTCGAAAAAATTCCATGCACGCGATTACGATGGCATGCGTGCTGCAATTTCTGAGCAAACATGCTCCAGAGATCCGGGGTCCTTTGAAACATTTCGTTGTCGAGATGTTCGAAGACAAAACCTAGCATAGGCTATAACTATTCGTCCGTGATGTGCGTCGAGTTCCTTGAATCTAACAGAATTGTTGCTGGCATTGCTTTTCTTTTTCAAATCTTGAATGACCTAGTAAGTCGTCCTCAACCTCTCTCTTCCATCAACTTCAACAGCGCTAAGATTTATTCGCACGTTTCAGCCTTTAAAATATTAGGTCGTTTCATAAGTTCGTGCCGCGAATATGTTTATACTTTTTGATACGTTTAATTCATTTCATAAAAGAAATTGTTGTCTTGAAGAATTAACTACCCACAGATATTTAAAAAAAAAATGGGAACGACAAACGGCACGAACTTATGAGACGACCTAATATAAGTCAAATTTCGTTTATTCAGATTCTGTAACAAAAATTCCTACCCTGGCGAACAACTACTGCACCGTTACTGATCTTTTCGGTGTCTCTATTGTTAACCCTTTGCACTCGAATGGCGACTCTGAGGCGATGCTGAAAAGTGCTACACTGTTTTCAAAAGAATCTTCACATTGAATTTATTTTGTCATTAAATTATTCGATAAATTGATAAAAGAGAAGATAAGAGAAGATAAAATAGAAGTGTTCTATAATCGTACACGTTCAATTTCACATGTATCAAATAAAAACAATCATAACAAGTGTAAATATTATACGTTGAAACAAATGTCTTCAATTTGGAGTTAAAATAGTCTCGAGTGCGAAGAGACTAAATGTGCAAATCGAATGAGAAATCTGTTGTAATCGCCGCACAAACACCTCTATTATGTACTCTAATGAGTTTTTCCCGCTTCTAGATAAATAAAATGAAAATGACGAAGGAACGTTGCTTTCTTCGATCATCGGCGAAACGGCCGTGCGTTCTGTATGACCGTAAAGCAGAAAGGTGTGCACGCGAGCCGGCGCGGCGTGGCGCGCACTTTCTAAGCGGTTTTTTCGATCGCGCCCACACAGCGAGAAACGAGAAGGCGGAATCGTGCCACCGATGCTGCCCGCTTGGATTTCCGCGTCCTCGTCCAAAGCGAATCGTAAGCTGCGAGGCGAACAAACGGGCTGTTTTCTGCCAGAGCAAGAGGCAATTGTTTCCGGGAGAGGAGCGAGACAATGGGAACGAGGAACGCACCCGTGAGCATGCCTCGCTGTGTTGCGGAATACATAATAAAGAAACCCTTTCGGCGCGAACCCGCCGAACCTTTCCTATCCTGCATCCACAAAATCGCGTTTCGAAGCAACTGAAAAAGCGTCTCCACTATCGGCAAGATTATCGACACTTTTATTGTCTTCTCATTCGCGCGAGAGGATATAATCGTAGTTTCTTCGATTTTCGCGATTCTTACGT